GCAGGGCCAAATGACTGTCAAATTACAAACAAGTCAGATATAGTCTCCAGCCTGTTTTGTACCATCAACATAGTTTTGCCCAAGCAATTAAAGTACTTGTAGCTACATATAAAACACAGTCTTATATGGAAAAAGCCTAATAAAGTATAGCTACCAAATTAAAATCTTCAAGCTACACAAAATATCAACATTAAAAATAAATGACACTCCAGAAATTACTTCACTTGAAAGATGGGGGTTTTATTCTCAAACACATCTGAAAATTAAAAAAAAAAACAAACAAACCAACTCTCCACAGACTTTTGCCACACAAATTATATATGTAAGACCTGAACAGAAAGACAAGATATAGTTCAAGCTTAGCCCTGGTTAAACTAATCCAAATATATTACTAAATACAGTATTTCATCCGGTGACCAAAAAAGTCTAGTACATCATTTACTAAGTAGAATATATTGCTTCTAGTCCTGGACTTTCCCAGAATACTTGAATTGGTACACAGAAAGATTTACCTATACAGATTAAAAGATGCTGGTGCATGTCCAAGACTTTCCCACTTCATTCAGGACATTAACACAACCTCTGCAGCTGATCTTTGTGACGCTGCTGGTGTCAAGATTACTTTAGGCCACTGACAACTAAGCTTTACAACAGAGTAGCTTTTGCAGGATATTAAAGGCCCATCCCCAGTTCAAACCTCAAAGCAATCACTTCAAGAGTCTAAAACACTGCTACAAAGATGCTGGAAGTAGGCAGCCAGGGACCACTGAACACCATCACATGCCCCAAGCCAAATGGACAACACACAGCACAATTTTCTAGTGGCTGCATTTTAACTCCAAGACCCCTAAATTTGTAACAGTTAATTTGATTTAGACATATTTATTTTCAAAGCTACAAACACACATATGCAGTATCACATACTAATGTTAATTTCTAAACAGTAAGAAGGACCTTGGTTAAGTTTATTGCCCTGCTATGACCTCGACCTGTTCCATTTGCAGAACAAGGGCAGTATTTACCATCTTCACAAGAGCACAGCAAGTTAAATTCTTACAGTCTTTGGGAAAGAAAGAACGTATTTAAGTAATTTATATAATCATGTCAGCCAATAAAATTCCAACTGTTCCAGGAGTTCCAACTTTCCTATAATTTAATTAACATAGGCCTGCAAGTCAAACAAGATGCTTATTTTCTAATGGTATCCTGCTCAGAAGTACCAGCTGTGTAACCTTTAAGCACAAGCACTTTTTACTCCTCTTTTTATGCTGACATATGCTTGTCATCATTCCTTCCCACCACTTCAATTTTTACTGCCCAATCCTAGCAGTGCTCACTCCTCCAGCAGCAGAAGAGTTGGATCATGACAAGGACATCACATAGTAGCACCTTCTCCATTTCTGCTGATTCTGGCAAAGAAATAGCATATAGGAAGAAGGGAAATAGCCAGTCCTCTTTACCCCCATGGTCCTTCTGTAAGGAACATAAAGGAATAAACAAGCTCAGGAAAACAGAAAAACATACAGTCCAGAAGAAAACAAGGACGGAAAACTGGGAAATGTGTCACTATATGAATTGGCTGCCAATGAACAAAGAGCAGTGCAGTGTAATTTTTCTCTCAATTACAACTTGACAAATGATATTATACAGAGAAGGGAGAGCAGATTTGGCAGGGAAGAGGAGGGGCAAGGAAATCGAGAGCAAATTGCATTCAAGAACTCAATTATTAGCTCAAATTATAAAATATGTTTTTCCATGAAAACAATTTCTGGTCATCATTCCATATAGTTTCCATATAGTTAAACCAGTGTCTTTGGAATCATGGAATCAGTTAGGTTGGAAAAGACCTCTGAGATCACTGAGTCAAACCTACAGAATTTTACACTCAACTACCATTCAGATTTAAAACGTTTTAGGAGAGGATACAATTTTCTTTAGTGAAACACAGCTAAAAACAAGCAGTAGAAACAGGGAGAGAAAGCAAAATTCTTCAAACTAGAAGAAAAAAAAAAATCAAAGCAATGTTGAAAAATCTTACACAAGATTAATTTATGAATTACAGCAGAACACTATTAAGTACACCTACAATTAAAAAAAAACAAAACTATTTCTTCTGTAACACTGCCAGGTAAGCACCAATTCAGCATGCAGATTAAGAGACTGGAGCATCTCTCTTAGAAGGAAAGGCTGAGGGAGCCAGGACCTAATCAGTGTGTATCAGTATCTGAAGGAAGGGTCCCAAAAGGGTGGATCAGGCTCTCCGTGGTAGTGCTGAGCAATAGGACAAGAGCAATGGGCAGAAACTGATGCACTGGAAGTTCCACCTCAGCGTGAGGAAGAACTTTACTGTGCAGTGACCATGCATGGAACAGATTACCCAGAGAGGGCGTGGAGTCTCCCTCCCTGGGGATATTCCAGAACCTTCTGGACACAATCCTGCGCAATGCGCTCCAGGATGACCCTGCTTGAGCAGGGAGGCTGAACCGGGTGACCCACTGTGGTACCTTCCAACCTGACCCATTCTGTCAGGAGGCAGAAGCAGACAAAGAGAAATAGTTTGGCATAAAAATGTGCATTTCTGCCTCATCTCGTTTCCTCGGAAATACCAGAATTACTGAATTCTCTTTTTCTGGCTCTGATTGACAGAAGACAGTCCCATCTACTTTAAGATATGAATAAACCCCACAATTTAGGTGTTATTAATCTCACTCCCTTAAAATTTTCCTTTCACCTGCTAAGCCAGATGCCTTACATGATGAATATACTGAAGCTCCTGAGGTATGCCCACCACAAACTATTTTCCCTTCAACTACTCAATTTTCATTCCTCCCTACTGTTAAATTAATAGTTTAGCCACATAAAAACAGAATTCTACTTCTACCACATTAATGGTGAAAAAATATAATTACTTTTTAAAAATTCTTCTTCCTTCTTCACCAATAGGCTCTATCTTCCTGTTTAGGAATAACTAGCTTTTTGTTCAGCTAATAACCAAAGCATTTAACACCTTCCCTGCTAAACAGTAAAGGATTATTTAGGATGGTCTTCTGGGGTTCTTTTCTTTTTGTTTGTTTTATTGCAAAAAAACCAAAAAACAAACCTGTTTAGAAGTTCTTTACTCTAGTAATTTAGAGCCAGTGTTAGATCAGTTCTGGCTGGAGAAAATGTACCAGAGGTACTAGTATTCAAGTGAAGTGAGACAAAACAAATAAGAGACTAGTTAAGATGGATGGACGATGTAACACATTTTGGGTGATTCCTGTACAATTCTGGGGCTTCTCTACTACATCTATAAAGTTCAAGAACTGGATATGAACTAGAACACAAACCATTCCAAGAAGACAGAATTTATCTATCTAAAACAAAGATCATTTAATACCTTTATCTCTGCTGTTTACCTTTTCCTAGAAAACACTACTCATAGGAAAAACTTGCTAAGTCAACTCTGACAAAAATAGCTTATCAACATTACTTCTGGCATTATGTAATGGACTCGTCATCGTATGCTCTGACAGATTATTTTAGAACTGGCTATACCTAAACAGCCAGAAGAACACTCTTTGACTCACTAGATGTTTTTGTTTTATCTTAAGCTACCTACTACAATCACAACAATACATTCACCTCTTTTTTCACCATAACTGTCAGCTCTCTATTCCTGTAAGCACACAAAATAAATGTTTTAAACTGTGAAAAAAATAATCTCTGTAATACCATAAGGTTTGAAACATTATGTACTCCTTCATTAAACTGAACTTTCAATGAAAGCATCCCCTGATGAATGACAACAAAAACAAAAGCAACTTAAATGAAATGCTGGGGGTGTTTTTTTGTTAATGTACAGTTTCATATTGGTTTTCAGACAAAAAGGCACCTAAGATCAGGTGCTACCAGAACCAGTGTAGTGATACAGCTAAAGTGGTGTTCCACTTACTTGAGGACACAAGCACCTTTACTGGCAGAGATAACATTCAGCTCACCTTTTTTCCCTTGTATATGCATTTCCACATTGCAATGTATCATACACAACTCCCATTCAAGAATCAATGAAGTAATGATCACCATGATTACATCATCAAAAGATTATAAGAAAGCCTCAGTTACAACAGAATGGAGTAAAAAATAATCAAAGGTAATAATACATGAAAATTAAGTTCATTAAAGGTCCCTGACACACATGTGGGCATCACAGTTCAATGATACTTCTTTCCTTTAATGTATATTAGTCTATCTCATCTGGCAGATCTTTGAGAAGAAAATTTTCACAGAAGACGCAACTACTGGCAGGATGAGCACAACCGCTGTGTGGAAAATGATCACTGTTCATGATGCTCTATACAGTCAAAGTAATTAATGGTATTGCAAACGTGGCCTAAGTGATAATAATTTTTTAAGCCTCAGATTCATTAATACCTTGTTCTCAAAATACAAACTTTTTTTTTCCCCTCACAGTCTTGATGTGCCCCCAACCGAACCCAAAGCTTTATACATTTCAAAGCACTTCTCCAAAGGCACATCTATTAAAGTGTACACACAAAACCATCCCGAGCATGGCACATTAGTTTCTGCCACAACTTTATTTTTTAAAGGAAAGACTGTAATGCCTGCTTAAAAACAAAAAGAGACCTATTTTGGGGTTTCTTCCAGGCCCTGTGAGGTCTAACATGCAATGTGATAACCAGCCAGCCTCGCTCTGAAAGGGTTAAAAACAAACGAAAAAAAAAATTTAAACTACTTGTATTTCTCCAGCTGTAAAACCGAAATATTGCCAGGTCTTCCTGCAGCCAGGGTACTGGATAATTTAGGCTAAAATAAATGTTTATTAAAAAAAGGGCGTTGATTTCTTGGCAGCGGTGAAAAGCAGGAGACACCCCTAGTGTCGACGTAAAATACTACAGGACTCCATACTGTATCTCCAGGTTAATTTGACGGCAGAAAAAGGGAAATTTAAACCCGTCATGATTGAAAAAACAGAGCGACTCTCGGACACACACACACACCTGGCCACATGGCACTCCCGCAGCCTCAAACCCCGAGCACCCATGGTGTGTGAAGTGTCAGCTTTCCGCCCCAGCCCAGTTACAGCGCACATTATCCAGTCCATTGGGCTACGTGCATTACAGCTTTCCGGTCCGCACACGAACGGCACAGCGCTACTGCTGCTGCACCGGGGGCGGGGGGAGAACCCCGCGGAGCTGCCAAACAACCCCCGCACGGCAGCGCTGCCGAAACTGCCGGAGTTCGGCTTGGAAACGGCGCCGGGGGCCGATGGTGCCTCTGTGGAACAGATGAGGCGCAGCCCGGGCGACGCGAATCCCCGGAGCGCGGGGAGGGCCGGGTGGGGGTGAGGTGAGAGGGTGCTGGGGAAGGGAAGGGCCGAGCCCGACCAGCGNCCGCTGACCGCGCACGGAGCGAGCGATGAAGGGAGGGAGCGAGGGAGGGAGGGGGCGCGAGCGGCGCTGGCGCGGGGCGGAGGGGGCGGGGCTCTCGCATCCGGGTACTCCGCCGCGCCGGTGGGCGGGGCAAGGCCGTGACGTCACCGGCGGGGTGGGGAGGTGGGAGCGCAAAATGGCGGTGCGGTGATTGTGGAGTTGTCAGGGGCGGGAGAGGCTTTTGAGGTCATCGAGTCCAACCGTCAGCGCGGCATTGCCGCTGTGACTCTAACCTCAGAACTCTAAACTCCCAAAACACTAAACTACATCACCCAGCGCCAAATTCAGGCGCCTCTTAAACACCTCGGGGGTTGGTGATTCCACCACCTCCTTCGGCAGTTCATTCCAATGTTCGGCCACCAGACCAGTAAAAAAGACCTTTTTGTCTACTGTCTAGCCTCGATCTCCCTTGTCTCAGCTTGAGGCCGTGTTTGAGGTCCTCTCACTGCAGTGTAGAAGGGGCTGGACTCCAGTTACCTGGGGAGAGCCATGAGGTCCCCCTGAGCCTCGTCCGGGCTAAACTACCCCGGGTCCCTCAGCCGCTCCTCATAAATGTGTGGGGAAAAGGAAAGTCCCTTTTATTAGGCCTTATGTATTGAATCTTAACTACAAAACACAACTGCATTTTTTTTCCTTTTTGCTACTAAACCACGACTGATTCAGGGTGATGACGTACAGGTTTTTTTCCCCCCTTGTATAATTTGACAGATGAGTGAGTGTGTGATCATTTTCAGTGCTGAGCCTGGCTAAATGTGTACTGTGGGGCTGCAGTGAGTGGCTTGAAAAGGTCTCCAAAGATGCGGATTTCCTGACCTGTGCAGTAGGTGTAAGTACAAAAATACCTTAATAAAGCCAATGTTTCTTGCTGCTACAGCTTATGGTGCTAACAGTTGATATCTTTGCTCCTTCAGGCCTCTGCCCAGGGAAAGGCTCCCTCAGGAAAACTGCCAGAGCTGCTGGTTGTCCTTGAGCTCCCAAACACCCTCTGCTTAGACTGGTCTTCCTCAGCTGTAACCTGTATATATATTATTATATACATAGTTATTTTATATATACATATATATATACACATATATATATTATTGCATACATAGTTATTTTATATATATATATATAATATGTCTATGTGTATGTATGTATTTTTATAAGCTGTGCTGCAGGAGCCCTTGCTGCTTTTGCTTCCTCTTGTGACTTCTGCATTCTGCAAAAGTGGGGAAAAAAAAAAAAATCCACGCAGGGAGAAAGCTCTGTGCAAGGATGTATTTGGAAGCGTGCTTTTGAAAGGTGGCTGCTCTCCCTATGTTCTGGCTGTTATTTTCCTCAGGTTTTTAATATTGTATTGCAAGAGGCTATCCAGGTTTGAAGTTGCTTAGTAAAGAATCACAGATTATTTAGTATTGGAAGGGACTTCTGAAGTTCATCTAGTCCAACCTCCATATTTAACAGATTTTTAGAGTGTGGTGTTTCAGTACTGTTAGTAGTTAATTATACAAAACTAAAGGAATTGTGCAGTGATGAGATAATCCTTAAAAGTGTACTCCTGTATCTTTGTTGTTTCATGCCAGCCTTTTACCCTGCATAGTCTACAAAATAGAATTACTGAGCTGAATGCAAACTCAGATGAAAGATGTAGTCGCAGTAACCCCTCTGAGGCAAGATTTAGGGCAGTGCAACTGCTTGCATAAGTAAGGCTGACCCTCAGGGAGTGATCTCTATATATTGTGAAGTTTTAAGTAGGCCAGACAACACCTTTAAAAACCATTGTAGAGGGTCAAATAAAATAGTTCATAAAGAGGGTGTGATTCCATATTTCCTTTGGTGTTTTTGCCTTTCTGTCCTTTCTCTGCTAAATGGGTTTATTCTGGAGCACCATGACACAGCACATAACACTGTAACAAATTAGGTGGTGATGTGAAAATCATAATAATTACGTATTGTTGTATTAGTACTGCCAAAGAGAAGACTCAGTACCACGTTGATGTTGTTTTTAAGGCGTTTGTTACTTGGCTCACAATAGCTAGACACTTTGCCAGGGAAATGCAAATTAATTCTGCCAAGTTCAAGGTGAATGGTGAGCTAAATCATGGGGGAAGGGAAGACTGGATGAATACTTTAAAACCAGGTTAATTTTTTAGGACCACAGCTGAGAGCATGAGCTTTCCAGTCTAAAATGGTAATAACCTCTCTCTTCAGCTCCTTCTGGAAATGGAACTGCCTCATCACTGTTGCCCTATTAGTGGGAGTCTGAGCTGATCTAAGATTAGCAAAGGTTACCTTCAGAGTACATGGAGAAACCTGCAATCTTGAAATTAAATGCACAAATGCTAAGAGGAATGGGAATCTCCCATAGGGAAGTCTGCTCAGGGACCTACATAAATTAAGGGTGACTGTGGAGTTCAAGAATAAATCAAAAGTTGTTCTGTTCTATAAGACTGTACCAAAGCAGAACAATAAATGTGCAGCTCTTAGAAACTGTTAATGACTGACGAATGTTCTGCTCCCAAACAGATATGCAGCAAGGAGGAAGCTTGAGCAGGAAGAAGCAAGAGTGGCTCAAGGGAGATTGCACAGAAGAGTCTGGCAAAAGCAACTAAGTGAAGGTGGTGGTGTTGAGTGAAACTGAATGGTGGTAATTTGCACCAGAAGAAAACAAAACAAGCACTAAAACATGAGTGTAAGGTTTGAGTTAGTAGCAAATCAGCAAAACAGAACCTGGGCCTGGCCACAATGGGAGTTTATACACCAGAAAATGGCCTGGTCCAGGAAAGGAATTTTCTGCCTGTTTTTATTAACAGATACAGATGGTTAGAATATCTCTACTTTTGAGGGGAAAAAATCCTAATTGATAGGATGTCTAGGAATAAAATATTCCTAGATTTCACTAAAAGCTAGCTTTAAAACTGACTGGCCTCTAGCCAAAAAATAATAATTTCAGATCTCCAAGAGAAAAAGGAATTCTGATGTAAAACAGTCTTGCTACTTGCATCTGTCAGTACAGCTATATCTAGCAGAGGTAAATCTGGAGTAAAATCAGCTAAATTAAATTGAAGGAGGCTAGAATTTCTATTGAATAATGTAATGAGATTAAAATAAACAGAAATGATGAACATAATACTTTTTGGGCTCTGAGTAGATAGAGCCAAGAACTTAGGAAAATACAATTTTAATTTTGTAATGGAGTTATGTCACTGCTAACTGTTTTGAACCTCTAAATGCAGCTCAAAGAACTAGTGCACTTTTAATTCCCATAATTTTTTTTGAATGTGTCCAAGTTCCTTTTCTTTTATATCTAACTTCTAAAATAAGTTAAAAATTAATTAAAGATGGTGTTTATTAGTGTGTAGGTAAGAGTCTGAAGAAAAGCATGACTTCCATTTTTTTTTTACCTGTATTTGTGACTAATATTTTTTGCAAATATTTGTATGTGATTATTTTTTTTTTTTTTAGAGTAAGTTTCAGACATTGCTTTTTCATTTTCTGCTGTAAGTAAAAATAATCTGCAGCATAATTGCAACTATTCAAACTAGGATCATAACATCATGGCATCATTTGGATTGGAAGGGACCTTTAAGGGCCACTTAGTCCAGCCATGGGGCAACCTATGTCCACCAGAAGCAGGGACATCTTCAACTGGACCAGGTTGTTCAGGGCGTGGTCCAATCTGACCTTGAATATTCCCAGGGATGGGCCTTCCACCACCCCTCTTTGCCACCTACTCCAGGGTTTTACTGAAAACAGTTTCCATGCTGCTGTTCATGTGTCTGGGCTCCAGCTTCTTTCATAGCATGTTTCTTTGAAGGTGTTATTTGTGATGCCTTAACTGTCCCAAAGTTTTGAGGGTGTTTTAATATAGTATGTGTCCTTGATGTCCTGAGCAGATCCCTCTTTGTCTTGCCTTGCACTAGTCTTCATATAAACGTTCCTGACTCACAAACCTTGCTGGATGCAATTTGTAAGAAGCATTCCCCTCTCTGTTAACCCAGGGTTAGGGCTGCCACCTAATTAAATAATCTTCTGTCCTGACCCTTAACAGGCTGTAAGCAGCTTTTCCCAGCAAGGCAGGTAAACTCTTGGGACAGTGCAATAAAGCTTGAAAATACACTGTTTTAAAGCATGTTTGTGCTGTGTGTATGTAGTAGTGTTTTACAAAAATCAATAAACTCTTTTTCTTCTGTAGTTCTGTAAAAGGAAGAAAGGAAAGCAACCTTTTATGAGCTGGCTTTGAGAGAAAGTGCTTTCAGTTACAGTGGGCAAGGGAGGCTGTACTTTTATCAGCAAAAGAGGAAGCCTTTTCAGATAGAAATGAAAACTGTCCTTTCTCAGCATGTTTGAATTGCCCTGTTAGTGCAGGTCCTGAACTGTTAATATCTGTAAAACAAATGCACCATATTGATTCATCATTTCAACTGTAATAAAAGAAGCAAAAAATAAGCAAATCGAAAGATACAATACTGACTAGAACTGACAAATGGTTGGAAGGATAATGTGCCTCTCATTGTATCTCTCTTACTCCTACATCTATCTTTTCAGTTGAAAGAAATCAAAGAGAATCTGTCCTTATTTTCTCACATATTTGTGACAGCATGTATGAAGTGCCAAGACTTAGGAGGAAAAGGAGATGATACGTTTCAGATCCAGTGAGGCACAGCTGAAAAAACTGGTCTAATGAAAGACCAGAAGAACACTGTGGGGCACAGAAGCCTTGTGAAGCTGTTGGTAATAGATGAGTTTTAGTTACCCATTGGTTTATTTTTGTGTCAATGTGGGATGCTGGATTTCAAATTGCTAGAAGAGGTGCAGATGTACAATTGTCTCTTGCATTTGTGCATTTACTGAAACAGCGCTTGTTAATGCTTCTGATTGGTGGATCTTGCTGCCCAAGGTGCTGTGAATTAAATGACCTGATAGTAGGATTATTTCTTTTCAGCTCTTGTTTGTCATTAACAGCCCCCAAGGACTTGAAGCCACAAAGGAAAAACTATTACAAGACACTTTTTGTTTTTTTCTTAAATGCATTATGAAGAGGGGCCTTCTGATTTCCTAAACTTACTGCCAGTTCTGTCTAGGATGAACTGGGGATAAAAATGCTTTCTTTGTCTTTGTCCCTGAGCCTATAATAAGCACGTTACCAGATAACACTCTGCAGAACAATATGGAAACAATTTGCAAGAAAGATTGAGACTAAAGGGTTGCATTTTTCTAGAGACTCTGCTGTTAGTGTAATACTTTCATGTTGTGATCTTGTTTGCCTAGCAGTTTTTAAGAATTCCTTATGGCATCCAGCTGTAGCTGGGGTTGGTATAATTGACTGCTTTTTTTCTAAAGACATTTGTTCTGGGGAGCTGTGGGCTGACTGCTCAAAGAACTTCCAACAATGGAAGCAAGTGCTGGAGTAGTGTTTGATTTTTTATTTTTTTTTTCCACTTATGTGCTTGTTTACAACCTTTAGCAAAGTCGTATTTATTTTGCTTAATTCTGCTAGAGATAATGTGTATCAGTCTGACTTGTGAAGTTCTTATCTTCCTGCAGTAACTGATTAAGGCTGCAGAGACTGGCCTTCACAGGTTGTTAATGAGCTATTAATGTATGTAACTCCAATATTGTACAAACAATCTCCTGAATTACTGTTAGTTCAGGTTTGGGCCAGTGCAAATTCTGAAGGTGATGACCCAGGCAGTGAACTAGACCAACGATTTAGTGGCAAAACAGCAATCTGTACTGAAACTGTGCAACCTAAAACAATGCCAAAGGGTCTTTATTTGTTCATTGTCTTTTCTTGTAGCAGAGAGAAAAGTAGGGAACTGCTTTGTTGCTGATCCTCCAACAGTTTGAGCTGGGGACAAATTTTGAATACCAGTTTGTAGCCTGACTCTTTCCAAACCAATTAGTGTATATGTTTTTCTGTGGAGTACCTTTTAGCATATCTGTATGTGTTGTGGGGAGTTAATTAGTGCAAGGTTCTGTGTCTATTAACCTCTCTTTGTTGTCATGGAGGACAAAAACAATGGCATTAACAAAAGCTGTCTATGGTGTGATATGTTAAATTGCATCTGGCTTAGTTGTGCATTTATTTTACAGCTTTTACTGCCATGATCTCTGTGCTCATGTAATCTGTTTTCATTTGCAGTGCAGTCAGCAGTATGAAAAGTTTTGTGTTAGAGCTTTCAAGGAAAACATGATGCAGCATGATCATTTACATTAATGTAAATGTTCAGAGCCCTTTAGCTGAGCCAATGAGACCACACTAAGGGAGTCACTTGTGTCTGGAATTCTCTGCTCTGGGCTGCTGTTTCATGCAGAGACTCTTGGGAGTGCAGATTGAGGGCTGTGTGGTTTGTCATTGAGGGAGTAGAACCCCATATGCCAATAAGATATGTTTGCCACGGGATGGGATTTTTTTTCTTTCCCAGGGAATTGAGAAAGCAATATTCTTTTCTCAAGGTGCAAAGCACCTGGTTTATCAACCAGTGCCTGTCGGTGTTTGGATCAACACTGGATACTGCCTTCAGGCATTTTGCACCTGCAGCACAGGATTATAAAATCACCTCAGCTCTTCAGTGGTGTGTGGAAGTTTCAGTAGAAAGTGTAATTATACTCAAGCTGCTGGATGGGGATTCTGTGTTTTTTTCATATAAAGCAGGTTCAGATCCTGAATCCCAAGCTTTTAGACTTCCTAGTTTTATGCTTGCACTTTGCACTTGTAACATAGTATGGTTACTCAAGGAGTCATAAACAGGTTTAGCTTCCTGGCATCCTCTTCCTAGAGGTGTAGTAGACTGCAGGTAACAGACTGCAACATTTTTGCAGTGTGTGTGTGTGTCACTAAGCTGCTGGGAGCTCCTGCTTTGCACTGAAGTTAAAGAATCTATTACAGGAATTAAAAATTGGCTGGACTTGCTGTTAATCTCTGCTAATCTGAAGATTTTGAGTGATTTAAGTCTTTGGGCTTTCATCTTGCAGAAGACTGTCTAATTAAAAGGGGAACTTGCCAGGTATGGTGTGCAGTTTGTTACCCTGGTACAGTGTTAAGTCATGGTGCTTCTGCCTCCTACTTATTTGGCAAAGTACCAAAGTTTATGGTGTAGAATTGATTTATAACTTCAGTATATTTAACATCAGTTTCAGTTCCATCATGCTGTTTCTGTCACAAGAAGAAAATAGAAATTTCCCTTTTCTGAAAAGTAGTGTTTCCAGAGGAGATTTCAAAAGTCAGAATAAAGATATTTTTTCTTATTTTCCTATCAAAATCCCCCCCAGTTCTGTCTCCCTGCAGACAAAATGTATGCATAATGACAGTGAGGTTCCTAAGTAAATACCATGAAATTTTGGGTGTCTTAGTCATACAGTGGTATTTTTCTTTCATCAGTCAATAGGGAAGAACACTGCTCTCTGAAAATTGTGCATTTTATTTTGTAGCCTACTTTACACACTGGAAACAGTTTCAGATTTTGTACTGTAAAATACCACTGCTGGAATTTTGCTGAAGCCCAAACAATTTTCCACTGGATGATAATATCCTTAAATGCACTGTCCCTAGTTTATGCAGCCTGTATTATACAACAAGAGATACTCTGGGCTGTCCTCAATATGAAATCTAGTTTCAAAAAACCCACTTCTCTAAGCCTTGTCTGTGGCAGGAACAATAAGACCAGTAATGATTCTAATGCTTTTCAGCTGGCTGGGAATGCAACAGCTTTGTCTTTTCACATTCAGTTGAAGTTGTCATATGACCCCTTCTGCAGATTTAGGAACAGCTGGTAAATTTGCAGAGGAGAGTTAATGCCCAGGAAAGTAAGGTATGCACTTTAACCTCACATTCATGAGACCTTTGTACTGCATGTAAATCTCAGTATTAAAAAAAATATGGAAACTTTTTCAATGTTGTAATAAGCATGTTAGTAATGCTATGACTTCATGGGTTAGAACTAAAAAAGGTTTACTGAATTGTATCCAATTCTGCTGGACCCAGTCTGCCCAGGGTAAGTGCAGCCTGTGGGTGAGGCACTACTGCTGTTCTGACAAACCTTCTGAGTGGAATTGCAGTGTCTTTTTCCTGTTATAGCTCATGCCAATTTTGGACTAGAAGAAACAACACTGTAGTGGCTTTTTGGTCAACATAATTTGTAGTTTTCTGGCTGACTTGTGCTCACAGGAGTATTTTGCTACCTCCCCAGAGCTAAAAGTGTAGGATGTGTCTGGGAAATGTTTATGTTATGTCCCTCTTGCAAATAGAAACCATTCTAAGCAACACCATCAAGGCACAGTGAGGCAACATGCTACTTCCCAATTCTGACATCCGTAGCAAAGAATAAATACAGGTTATCAATACTCTCTTGTGCTTCTGGGTGTGACCTCTCCAGCTCTAGCAGTACTTAAACCAAGACAGCAAGCAGCTGAAAGCTTTCATTCTCTGTGTCTGCATCCTGTAATTGTACTCTGGGATGGAAGGGACTAATTAATGCCCGAATATCAGGGAATACATAGCCAGTCTTTCACTGATCAAATGCAGCAGCAGTCAGCACTGGATTTAGCTTAAGGTCAGGGAAGAGAGAAGGGATGCTGTTAGGGTGAAGGAGTAATCTGTAATCCTCTTGGTGGTGAAACACAATCTGCCTCTCCTGACCAGGTCAGTCTATATGGGTAGCACATCAGATATGTCCACATCTGGTACAGTGAGAGAATTTCTCTGGCATATATGAAGGATTCCACTTTTTCTCACACGTGTAAATGAAAACCTACATTTAATGTTGAACAACCTCCAGCCCTTCTTGTGTGGGCTGTTAGCTTTTTTTAAGAACTGCTGTTCTGAGTGCGATAAATAGAGCATGTTTTAGATTAATTCTAAGAGAAAAGAATTTCAGTATAACCTGGTTTTCAACACTCAAAAGCCTTTGGATGTACCCTAAAGCTGTTGCAAACCCTGGGAGATAAGAGCCTTTGAAATAGCTGAGTGGAGTAAGCAGTGTTTTCAAAACAAAACAAAAAACTTCCCCAGATATGAGCTGTGTTGCTCTCAGAGCCTCCCAGTTGCTGCAAATCTGAGTGACCCTGCAAATGGACTTTTTAAAGAGGAAATGCTGCTACATGATCAAGGTCCCTGAAGGTGCTAAAAAAGAGCAGTGAACATATAAAGTCAGTAAAGCTTGTGGTGTTAGGATAAAAAACATTTATCATTGAAGCAGTCAGGACTCCCCTTTTAAGAGTATATCTTGTTTTTACAGTGTTCAATTATGATCTAGTTTGTATAATCATTAAGGAAGAACTAGCCTCACAGTGTAAATCCTTTAGTTTATTGGTATTTTAGTAACAGAGAGTACATGTTTTACTGCTCAAATGATTAGTTTGTTAGTGATGATGGTTTTTTATCCTGTTCTGAACATGTGGGTGTTCATTCTGACTGAATGCATACATCTGTAGATGTATGTTGTAGAATATGATGAAAGCTTAAAGTACTCAGTTCTTGGCCTCATAGTAGCCAGTCCAAGTATTTGCTCAAAATCTACATTCATGAGTAGCCAACTTTGAGGTTTCTTTTGCATATCTCATGACAGTCTGGGGATACTTCTATTTTGAGAGACTTTGGACTGGGGTAACTCTGCAGATAGCTTCCAGTTAAGATATAAAACCAGTTTCCCAGGAGTTTCACTGGGAATGAGTCTAGTTTCACTAAGCAGTGAGGCTAAGCTGGAAGCATGCTGCATCCCTGAGGAGACCAGTGGAAAACACTTTCTGTGGGCAGCCCCTCTTGCCCACTCCCTTAGAGCTAATGTGTAGGATCTGCAGCATCCTTAACTGTCCCCAGGTGGTGTGTGGTCTTGTTCTGGAATCACACCTTGATCAAATGTGTCCTCAGCTGACATAAAGTGCTCTGGCCTGCTGCTGTTGTGATGAAGGCCAGAGAACAGGTCCAGGTATTGTTATCTGCACAAGGTTTAGCTTGCATTCTGTTATTTCTCTTCTGATTTATGGGATCACTAAGCACTTGAGTATTTACTTTCTTGTGGAGCTTGGGATGCCAAATCTTGATCATGACCACAGTGATTTTTTGCTACAACTATGAACAAATCCATTACTTAAGCATCAGTGAGGTTGATAAGTGTTAATCCTGATGTCTAAAACAAGTGTTCTGGTGCACATGCTTCTCTGGATGTCATTTTGGGAACTCCTCCACTAATACTCAATTTACACCAGTGAGCTGAAATAGAGGATTTTTAACAACAGATTTGTCGTTCATTTTCAATCTGACCTTACACAGTAGGTATCTCAGGTGGATGTGTAGACTTTAGGCCCTCTTTTAAAATGTCCTCTATGAAATGCAATAGGTGGAGGATTCAGAAATTCTTCCACATATGTGTAGTGTATTTATATGTGCATTGTAATTTACACAGAATAATCCACATTAAAGTTACTGAAAAATACATAATATTAAAATGTGGTAAATTCAACCTTGCTTGACATGTACAGCCTACTTTTTTGTAGAGGAAAAATGGAAAGAACAAAAGGAGTTTTTTGAAACTACTTCCAGTAGTTTCAAAATGCCATGTCATCAATGTTAGATAAATTCTTTTTATTTGCATAGAAGAGATAAACAGATCAGCTCACTAATGAAATTTCAGGTATTAAAAGCAAGACAAATCTTAAAAGCTGCTCCTTTTTTTCTTTTTTTCTTTGTTTTTTTTTGTGCTGCAGTCTAAATTGACAGTGTTTCCAGTAAAGATATTCAACTAAACTCTTTACTGTCTTTACTGTTTCATGTTTAAATGAAAACAGGATCCTTAAAACAGTGTACCATAAAATTTGGAAACAACTCAAAATATTAAAGGTATTGATAAAAAAACACAACACTTTGAGATTGCTTTGGTCAGTAGTCAATTTATCTGGCTCTCAGCACAACCAATAGCTCTAGTGTCTGTGTTTGGGGATGTCTAGTTCTTTGCTGTGGATTATCTTGTAAATGTAAAATAATGTTTTGTGAATTAATATGAACACATGTTTTTAATGATAAAAGGACGTTTAGTTTGACTTAATTACCTAGTTACTGCCTTTTGCAATAGCACACTGCTTCCTGCAGCTAAACACTCAATTGAAATAAAAATAGCTTATATAAATATGTAACTGTTTATCCCATAAAACTCCCTTGACAGAAGATGCTAAAGCTTTAAACCTTGATGTTTGAGAAGATATTTTAAAATTTGGATGGTTTCTGAAAAGATAATCAGATTCTAAGCTGAGTTTCTTCCCTTAAATATCTTCATTGTCTTCAGTAATAAATTTGCATGCAAACTGGAGGAAGGCATTTGGCCTATTCTTAGAGCAAGTCAAAATTACTTTCTGCTTCTTCATGATCAGCTGTAGATCTTCCCTTTATATTTTGTGTGTCAACAAGTGCAGGGCACTGAAGAAGCTCTTTGCCTTGGAGGAATTTACAGCCTGCATGTAAAGGATAACTAAATGTTATTCTGTGAGTTTGTTAGGGTTAGGAACTCGCTGTTCCTTACCAGTAGGTTATATTGTGTGGGTAGATAGCAGGTGCTATGCTGCAGGAAAAGGGAATATACCATTGGTTTTTCCCATCTTACTGGAAGTTGCCCACATGTGATCTGCTTGTATGAACCTGCATGTGTCTGCTTCCTAACACAGTTCTTAAAATATTATCCCTCTTAGCTTAAACACGTAATATAGCTGAAGTTTTTCTAAAGTTAATTTATCAAGCAGTTGGGCTGGGGAGAGAATACACATGTAGTTGTTTTAGCAGACTGGAACATGAATAGAAATTTCAGTCAATGGGAAGAGCTGTATTAGGTGACTGGGACAAGAAGCCTCTTTAGTTGCCCACTGTCACCAAAACACCATCTCTAACTACCAGTCAGTCATTGATGCCCATTGGGTGGATGAAGCTTGATTTCATCATCACACTTGAGACCAGGGCTGGATCTGGGTCAGGCTGAGAGAGGAGTGTAGTGCATGTGGACAGGCAAGAGCTGGCAACAGATGGTATCATAGTGGGAAGAAAGAGACAGCTCATCAGCTGGCAATGTTTCTACTGCCTTTTGTCAATTATTTGTTTTTCTTCAGGGAAGAAATCAGTGTTTGGTTAAGTTTTGTTGTTAGCTTTTATAGTTATTGATCCTAGAAAATCTGAACTTCGTATTCCTTTAATTTAAGACCATTTTATATCCTAAGTAATATGTATATGCTCACATTTTAGGACTGTATTTTCTTAATTAAAAAACCAAACAAATTACATGTAAATATTGCGGCAAAGGGTTCCCCAAAACCCTGAGCAGAATATTCATCTTTGTGGCAGATGGTTCTACAGTAATTGCTGATTCATAGTCTTTTGAAAAAGGAAGTAAGCTACTCATGGGTTTATGGACTAAGCATTTTGACTAAATGAACTTGTTTATATCAGCATATTGCTTTTGCAGTAAGTTTAGAGTCAGAAAATACTGCTTATATTTAACAAGTAGAATTGACTTAATTTAGTGATCGCATGGAAGAAAAGGACTCATACATTAGTTTTTCATTCAGTAAGTATTTTTTAGGTTTTGTTAAACAAGAAGATAGTTTTATTAATCATTCCTGTTTTTCTTAAGCAAAACTCTAAAATGCTTAAAACCAAGTGTTATCTTATTTTGTAGGCCATTTGTAGTGTAGTTTTCAGAAGAGATGGGTTTCTCATTGACTAATTTTTTTTGTTATGTTTTTAATTCTTGCTATAGATTTTAATTATCATTAACTTGTGGATGAATAGCAGTGATTCTTAAGTTTTGATATTTTAATTTGTTTTTACATTTAATTTAAAAAATATGAGTAGCTGCATGTGAAAAGGACAACTGCTTTCTTGAAGGAATAATTTAACTAATTATATATAAACATTTATTCCACGCTTGTCACCATAGTAACTGAGGCCTCGAGTCAGTGTGCTTTGCTGAGCAGGGTTGCAAATGCTGTAGTGAGCCAAGGCCTGAACTTCTGTATGAAAATAGTTTCACATTTTGTTGAGACACAGCTATTCCCTGCTACACCTTTTTGACCTTGTGCCATTATCTGTATTGCCAGGGCTGCAAGCATGGCAGAAACCTGGGAGTTAATGTGTCTGAAAATTAACCTCCCTGAAAATTAGTGTGCACCAAATCATCCTTCTGATCTGCTCAAGCATGTGATTGTATGGCCGCTAGTGAGGCACTGGGGACAGTCAGGAACGAGTGATTGTGAAAAGTGTGGAGACACAGCTACAAATCAAGCTGATTACACAGCTTCTCTGGAAGCCACTTGTTAGGGCCTGACTATGCTGTAGCTGAAATTGTTGAGAAATTGTTGGGCTGGGAGGAGCTAAGCCAGTTTAAGTGAGGAAATTATCTAACTGATGTTAATTTTGAAGTGCTTTTTGTGACTTTGGAAGTATATCCTGGAGCCAAGTATCTACTTGGTGCTGTTTTGAGAATGGAGGACGTTATCAGGATTGACTTTTGATGTCTCTTCCCATATGCTGATCTCTGACAACCGGCCACAGAATTGTATCTGAATGTTCACTTCAGAGATTCTGTTACAATTAACTTAATTGCATATCTTTATTTTCATCTTTTTATTTGTACCTAGAAAACTGCTGTCAGAGAAACCTCATCTTTTTACCTCAGCTTTCATTTTGATAGCAGCAAGGGTAGTACTAGCTATTTCTGTAGCCTGTTTGTAAGTAAATCTCATATGTATTCATGTTTCAGATGTTCCCTCTATCTTATAAAACATGACAATAGTATGTGTTTTGTAACTATAAAGCTTTAGAAACCCAGACATTAAAACATTTATCCTAAAAACTTGATGAAGGCTTTTAATTTTTATCTGCTACATTAACCAGGCCATCATTTTGAGCCTTTAAAATTCCACTTTCATTTTATTTTCCAGTGCACTTTAGATCATCACTTCACCATCCAAGGTCCTGGTTCCATGGAGACTCGAACACTTGTTTAATAATGCGTGTTTCAAACAATACTACTGATTTATTACTCTTCATTAACTGTTACCTGATTTGAAGACAATCAGATACTGGGGCCTCTGCATTAATTCTGTACTATTTGCAAACAGAGAAATGATTTGCAGGTGTAGCACAGCACAGCAGTTAATCACACTTGCAAACTGCAGTGTGAAGTGTGATATTGTATAGCCATTTATAGCCTGAGTTTTTAAGAGCTGTAACTCTGCTTTTGGCTTGGCTAACTTCCATGGCTGTTGTAGATTACATTTGCAATCAAATTGTTGCCAAACTTCCACTCAGTGTTAAGGTCATGTTTACTACTGCGCAGCTGCATAGTGAAGAGTTGCAGTAAAAGCAAAATAAACTTAAGATTATTTGAGGAGCAGCTCTCTATGGGAATGGAGAGCAAGTGGATGTTGGGGAAAAGCTCATATTGACTGTAGACCAAAGCAGAATATTTTTGGCAGCATTTAAATTTTACTGTTTCATTATAGCTGATGTGTTCTTGACTGCAGCTCTAATAAAAACAACTTGTGCATGTTCTGAGTACTGTTTAAAAAGAACGTAGATGTAAGAAAACTGGAGTCTGCAGCTGTCCATATGTGGTGTTGGAATGGTGCAAGGTTTTCATCTATTAGCCAGAGTTAGGAGCCTCCTAAAAACCTCATGCACATTAAATTTCTGGCACTGCTCATGAAAAGAATGCTGTTACAGCACTTGAGGACCTGTTGCTTTTCAAGGGAATTGCTGCAAAGGCTAATGTGGTCCTCCCAGATGAGGGTTAAAGTATACTACAAATGAGCTGCAATGGGGCTTTCATTATGACTTGACCGTTCTGGGTAAGACACCCACACCCATACCCCCTTTTTTGTTTTAAAATCTTGTAGATAGATTCATTTTTGCTGGTGTGGATGCCAGTAACTCTTTGAGCTTAAAAAAACCCAAAAATCATGGCTGGAGAAGGACTATTACTACTGCCACTGACATTTTGAAAGCCTTTTTTAACTAGCTTTAAATAACAAGGTGTATGCAGTGATGATCAGCTGCATTTGACAAGCAAAATTCTCAAAAATTAATAAGTTTTCTGTGTGAAAACAGACCACAGAGCAGAGGAGAAGGATTTTTGTATTATCCTTACATGAGGAAAGAGATAGGTTTATATCTTTCATTAAACACCAAAAATCCTTAGGGGACCAACACCTTATTGTGCCACTTGTATAAAAGCTTCAGCTGGAATGCTCAACTTTTTAAGGACCAGTCAATCAAATAGAGACTATTAGTGTGCAGGAAACCAAATTTCTTTACTTCCAGTACTATAAACATTTTTGTTTTCCTTTTCTGGAAAGTTGATTTTGAAGCTGGTTTGTGGGGGTGTGATCATACTATCTTTGTGAGGTATTGGAAATACATGTGCAGAAGTTCACAGAACACTATTAGAATCTGAGATGTAATGGAGTTTTGGCCTGACTCAGTGCAGGTTGTATGCTCTCAAATCTCAGTGAACCTGGGTGGGATCTGAAACCTTTTCATACCTGGAGTCAGTTCTTTTTTCTACTGTCAGTTTTGCTGATCTATTTTTGTTTTGGTATTATTTCTCTTTATAGACATGATGAAAACTAATTTGAAATAATTCTCATTCTTACTGTGGTGGGTTTACCCTGGCTGAACACCAAGTGCCCATCAAAGCTCTATTACAACCCTCCTCAACTGGACAGGGGAGAGAAAAATATAACCAAAGGCTCATGGGTTGAGATAAGGGCAGAAAGAAATCACTCACCAGTTACTGCCACGGGGAAAAAAGACTCAGCTTGGGGAAATCAATTTAATTTATTAGCAATTAAATCAGAGTAGGATGATGAGAAATAAAAAAATCTTAAAACACCTTCCCACACACACTCCCTTTTTTCAGGTTTAACTTTACTCACAAATTCCCAAGGTGCAGGCACTTTTGCAGTCTCCTGCTCTTATTTGTTGTATGGAAAGTATTGAAAGTAAGAGCACTTTGTGTCCATTGCTGTTTCACAGATATAAATTACTCAGAAATGGCAGTGCATCACATAGACTGTTGTAAGTCTCTTATGACACAGGCTAAATACCTTAAAGAAAGCCATTTGAGGTTGTAAAACTTAAAATTATTTCATGACTTCAGTAAAGCTGAATGTATGTTGCAATAATATCCAGGGATCATACAAGTATTTCATCTTCTATGGAAGTGAGCTTCCAAAACAATGTGTTGGCTTTGCTTCTGAGCCTGAGGCGCTGTAGTTGCCCAAGTTCAGCTTTCACCTTCAAACAGAACTCTAGCTGAAGAAGAAGAGTCCTCATAAACGTTCTGTTTTTCTGTGCTTGCTTCTTGTTTATGTTTTGCCAGGCACTCATGTCCTCTGGAGACCGTGGTTCAGCTCTCCAGTCAAAATCCTGGTAAGCCTCCTATGCAAGAGTAGCACAAAAAGGAACCATACTGGGATAAAAGGTCTGGGACCCATTAATGTTCAGGTTTAAGCAGGTATGTGATTTAGGAAAGATTGTACTTCGCAGTTTGTTTTTACTGATTTGGAATAAGAAAAGGTTGAGGCCAGTAAAACCTTAGGGAGCCAAGTGATTATTTTAACCTTCCATCTTGTTAGGAAGTAATACTTTGAATGAAAAAAAAAAATCATACTTGATGTTTATCACTTATGTCTATAAGCCATAGCAATTTTACAGGTATGATAGAGATAAGTAGTTTATATAATGTTACTTAGTTTTTTACAGTCTCACTTATGAACTACTACTTACAGAGCTCTTAAAATTAAAACAGGTTTTTGCAGAAAAAAATTTTGTCACAAAATTTCTGCCTTCTAGATCACACAAATTAAGCATCCCAAAATTCAAGTTAACTCTTTGTGTGTATATATTTCAAATTCACTAGATATACTTGAAAATGAAAATGTTTTTTGGTTAATGTTTTAGTTGGCATGTGTTTTTCCAGTCTTTATTTGGAAAGTAATTTTAGATGGATCTTTAGTATTAGGTGATGCTTTAAATAACAAGAGACAATTTTCCTTTTTCATAATGTTCCAAATTTTTTCTGTTTCTTACAGCTTTTAATGTTCATTTTTCTTTCAAGTCAAGGAAAGCAGGTAGATGCTTAGCAACTCTGCAATTCAGACTATATATCTGGGTATCTAGCTTTGGTTAAAACATTGTGGATCAGTTTATAATACTGGAACTGAAGTGAAACCAAGTAATTACTGTTTTCCAGATGAGTTCTAATTAGCTACCTTATACTCTGTCCTTCACCTTCTTATCTTAAGGTTGACTCCAGAATTTTGTGTTTCTCATTTGCAGTTTCAAGTTGTAGGACAGTGATTGTTTTCAGAATCTTTAAAAACTCTATCATTTCTTTTCAAGTGCAGAAAAAAACCCCCAAAACAACCCCCCCAATAAACCACCCTACTTAAAGAAATAGAAGTCATAGAAGGAATTTATAGAAGGCATGATATCATTATTTTAACTGACTACAAATCCTACTGGGAAACTTGATGTTAAGTTCACTTTAAGTCCTTGCACTCCCAGTGAGTCAAGTGAGTGCTGATACACAGTGTCCCTCAGTAAAGATTTTTACTGGACCTAAGGAGATTTTCCAAGATGATCTTGGCTGCCTTTCAAAATGTATCACTGAGGATGCTTTTTAATCTGCTTTCTATGTCCAAGCTTTATCTGGATTCATACTGAATTTTTAAAAGACTCTTTGGACATTTCATTGTATGAAACATCAGCAACAGATGTAATTACAATTAAAAAAAAGGGGCAACTAAGGTGGCTTTACACAGCTGTCCCTTTTCCCTCTGGGACTTATTAAACAAACAAGATTCTGGTTGTCATGCAGTCTTTTTTTCAAACTGTGCTGTCTGGCCTGTATTGTTTCATTATTAATTTGTTTTTTTAGATTTACATTTACCACATAGCATAATAATTTTGCAGGGTTAATTACTTGTGAATAGGAACAGTTTTGTTCAGAAAAATTACCCGGAGCATAGAGTGTGATCAGATGTGGTCTGTAGATTGGAGATATTTTAGACAAGGCTTTAATTAATGAAAATTTAACACTACAAAGTTATCAATCAGAGCTGGCTTTCCTTACTTGACATTTAGCCTTCTGTGGAGCTGACCATGGCTTGCAGCTGAATCTGTTTTTCCTAGGTGTTATATGTAAGCCAAAACACAGCCTGCATGATTATACCATAGTTGGCTTTGAAATAGTAGCAAGGATTTGAAGACAAGGAAGATTTTTAATGTTTTTTGCACTTATGACTTTAATAGGAGGAAGAGGTTCTGAGCAGCATGAAAGACCTCTAGAGCAAAAGTTGTACTTTGTCTGATCCTTTCTACCTCATTTTGCTCCACAGGGCTTTGATCTGGGATTAGATCTGTGTGTATAGATCTGTATATATATAGCAATTGCTTATTCATGGCAGAATGCTTTCTTGAAGTTCCTGCAAACCTGGAAACAGGGTGAGTAGGGTGTCTCTAGTTCTCTGTGTGCAAACACTCTTCAACACATAAAATGATGCCCAGGCTTATTACCTATCACATGCAAAATACGTTTCCCCTGATATTTTGAAGTCACTACTACAATGAGGACTTCTTGTCCCCTTTGTGTGCATGTGTTATTCCCACTGTCAATGACAGGAGTTATCCATACACATCAGGAGGATTTACCCATTGGACTAAACTTAAGACAGCAGGGAACATGACATTCTCTCTTCCCTAAAACTGGACAATTTAAGCATTATTTACCTCTGCATTTTGTGGTTGTTGGTTTTTTTTTTTTGTTAAGGAGACAGTTGTGGAAGTAGCAGCTGGGAAATGTGATGATAGCAGTGTTACCTTGATGGAAATTGCAGCTCAGAGCTCTAGGTCAAGTGTGGCACAGAATCTTGAATGATGGAAGTGAGCTGTTTTTCTGGAAAAAGGAGCCATTAAGGTTGACCTTTGTTAAAGCTGACTGTCACTTACTGGCTTAATAAATAGCTGACCAAAGAGAGGATTCCTTCTTTTTGTGTTACATATTTTCAAGTATTCAAATTTTATTTTCAGTTGTTAGGCTAGATGTTAAATTCTCCATATTATTGCAACTTGTTGTGCCTCTTCTACTACTGTCTGAATAGCTGATACCTTTAGCCACATTAGTGACATTTATATACATATATATCCATTTATATACATCAGATATATCTGATTGTGTTGCACTTGATGTACTCAGCTTTTTTCCACTATATAATTGCATTAGGGGATAGTAATAGTGTGACATAAACAAGGGTACAAGAATGGTTTAGCTTATAAATGCTTGATCTTTAATTTTACGGGCTTTTTATTTTTTTTCCCCCCAGTTTTTGAATCTCCTTTGATAATCCTGTGTGGAAGCTGTCAGGCGTGGGGCACTCCAGCATGTTTAGAGCTCCTACACATTTCCAAATTGAGAAGTGCGAGAGAGAGTCATCTTAGCAAGAGAAAAGCTCCCTCCTGTGGAAGAGATGAACCTCTGCTGTGACAAGGAGCAGCCATAAGGACATTACACCGTGATTTTAAATTAGCAGGGAAAGGGGTTACAAGCACGGTGGGACTTTGCAAATACTGGAATCCAAAACCCTGTCCTGTTATTTTTTTTCTCAAAGTAAATTTTTCATATTTTGTATGGCTTATATCTATAACTGTATGTCAATTATAACTGTTGTCTGTGAGTAAAACTGGATTGTTTAAATAATATGTGGCCACAGTGAACTCTATAGTGTTAAAGGGATCTAAAGCAGCTGACATTTTAATAATATAATATAATATATATATATGATATATAAAGATTTTGCTTTCTGTAGCTCTTTGCTGACAAACCTTAGTATTTTGGAAATTTGTGTGAATTCGAGTTTGTAGAGCTTACTTTTAAAAAACTTTTACTTTTTTGCTTTTTTACTTTTACTTTTTTTGTTTTCCTTTTTTTTTAAAAAGTCTGATAATCTGTATACCTTGAAGATCTGTATTAAAATGTTTCTGAATCTTGCTCTGATTGGTGTTCCTTGATAGAAAGCTCTGCTGAGCTCAAAGCCCCATGTAACTTGGAAAATAAAGCTGCACAGAAATTATAAAGATGAAATTGTGGTGGAGGGGCTGGAACTAGAACGTGATATCAAATTCCTGCTAGAAACAGTATTTTTTACCTTTGAGCTGAATATGATTCATGCTTGTGATCTGAAGGTGGAAGGCTGTAGCTCATTAGCACATTAACAAAACCCTGAGGCATTTACTCCCAGAAATGCTAATGTTATTCCCCTGAGAATGAAGCACTTTTGGGAATGGGGGAGATGAATCTTTATTATTACAGTGGAGTTTTAATTTTACCAATTCCAATTCATTGCCAGCTAAAGATGACTTAGACAGCACCGAGCACTCTGACCCACCGCAAAAAAAAATGCTGTGTTGAGATTGGATAGTGGGATAATCCTGTCCATTGGCCAAATGGTAAATTGTCATCTTGTTCAGAGATAGCTGGGTTCTAGCTTGTGACACACAGCAGCACAACTTTGGTTACAAAGCATGAGATTAGCATACATTACTATGTAATGGTGAAGTGAGGTTTGGTTTCTCAGTTAGAAATGTTATGGTGTACCTGCTTATTTTGATAGAGTTTGTAGTAATCATTGAAGCAGGGAATTGTTGCTCTGTGAAGGTAGTATTATCCTCCCTTATGAGAACTGTGACGGTGTTATAGTTTGGGTGAACAGTCCTAATGCTTGTGTGTGTCAAGAAATACAAATTCCGGGCTTGGGGGCAAGCAGAAATTTTCACGAGGCTGCATGCAACAAAGGCTCAAGTCCAGGTCATGAGAGATGTTGGCAGAAGTGCCTTATCAGTGAGGATCGGTGCTGTGAGAGCCCCCTTATCAGTGAGGATCGGTGCTGTGAGAGCCCCCTTGGACCTCTCTGATCTCCTTCTGCACCACAGAGCACTCGCTGGCTGCTGCTCTTCAGGTGCCAGTTTGGATTAAAAGAAAATCAACAATGGCAGAGGGGAGTCCCTTTTGCATGTAACCCATGCTCTGGGCTCTGCAAGACAGCCGCGTTCCTGTGGGAGGAGAAGTGGTCTGTGCAGCTCTGATGGGCACAGGGAGGCTTTCACTTGTAGTTTGCAGCTCACTGGGATTGAGAATTCCTTCCTGGCACCTGAGCCACCGTGCCTGGAGGGCTCAAGATGTGTGAATGTGGCACCTGGGCACTTGGTTCAGCGGTGCACTTGGCACAGTTAACAACCGGACTCGATCATCTTAAAGGTCTTTTATAACCAAACCAGTCCTAGGCTTCTGTATTTCCTCTTAGTAGCTCCATCTACTGATTGGCTGGAGTATTTCTGATCGCTGCTTTTTTCCCTACGGCAATTGTTGTCTGGTTTCTTAAGAAATTGAAGCTCATATCGAGCACACTTTGTCTTGCTCTTCTCCTTTCTCTGCACGCCTCCACCCCCAATATTGAAAGGTTTTTATGCAAATCAAAAGAGGGGCTGAGAGCCCCTGCTTAGTTGCTTTAGTTTTATGAAAGTACAAATCTAAACACTGGATGAAATTAGTGCCCATAATGATAGAGGGGCTGCATCATGAGTTGAAATGTAATGTTATAACACCAGGGAATCAACAGAAAATCACAGGAAATTAGTCTTTATAAGTCCCATGGTTCATCATGATTCACTAAGAGAACACAAGTAAAATAAAAGTTTTACTGTTTTTAGTATTCATATGGCAGTGATTTCTGCAAAGCAACTGTGACCTGGAAGAAGTGGCTGTAAATCTCTGAATACTCAGCAGTTAATTTTCTTTTACTGCAGCTGTGGGAATTGAAATAATTATAAAAATACAGAGGAGAAAACTTACCAGAGCTGGACATTTACTCTTGACTGGAATGACTAATAATTTGTACCTGCCCACTTTAAATGAAGTCTTGTCTGAAAACTTGTAGACTATGATTAAAACTATTTCAGAGACATCTTCTGGTGTTCTTGAAGTAACTTAAAGCACTGGTTTGCATCACCTATTGCAGATTGCACTAAAGCCTTGTCCTCCTTCCAGGAATTCTGCATTAAAGGGGCTAAACAGCAGGAAACTCAGAGCTGGTCTGAGATTTGACAGTCAGCCTACTTTTATTCACTGCATCCTAAAGACCATTTTCACGTTTAATTTTTCATTTCCATGAGATTTTAATAAAAGCCCAGGAGGTGAGAAGGAGATGGGCTAAAACTGATTCCACCCTTTTTTCTCCTCAATCGAAATTCTTTGTTATGTAGTATAAAACTAGTTTGAATGTTGTTCAGCAACATGAGCAACATGTTTGGCTTGGCTGAGCTGTGCCAACTTCTACTTGGAGTACTTCCTCTGATGTCTTGAGGAGTGCTGCTCCACAGAGTAATGATGTACTCAGTTGCTATGCCCTCTGTGTTGGAGGTATAAGGGCTTCCTTGCTTATTCCATACCATCTAACATGGTGCTGCTTCTCCCACCCTCTTGGATTATTACATTATAAGTTACTGAATGACTGGGGGCCTTATATTTTGTAAATAGCCACTTACTCCAGAGCTTTCAAGGAAAACGAGCAGTAGATTGAACAACAAATGCTGAGAGAAGAGAAAGGCTTTTCTGTCTCTCCATTACAGATGAAAGATGAGAGAGAGGGGATGTAGGTAGGCAATGACAGGATGTGAAACCTGAGAAGTTTGAGATTTGTATGAATCTGTGGAAGGTTACTGAAAGACACTGAGTTTAGTGAGCCAGAAGCTTAAAGCTACTTAGCAATAAAAAACATGGGGAGTTCAGTAGGAGATTTTTCAGGTTAGGAACAGACTTTCTAGCAAAACTGAGAAGCATTAAAGTTGGCTGAGATGGAGACTACCAAAAGAGAGGTCTTGAGAGTTCTCTGCTATTGTTACACTTTCATATGGAGACTCCTAGTGACTGTTTCCCCCAGTGCCTGTGGATCAAAAGCACATTCTGAGTTCTGGAGCGAAGTATATGGCAGCATTCCTTCTTTGTGTTTCAGGGCTGCTGCTGGCATTGCAGGGCTGAAGCAGAAAGAAATCAAAATTGATAGCTGATTTTATTAAAAGAAAAAAACAAAACAAAACAAAACCCTGCAAGAATTTTTTCAGCTCTGTAAGTTCATTCTACAAATGATTCTGTACCTGCTTCCGGGTGCAAAATGTTAGTTCTTGCTCCCTGGAGAAAAAGAAATGTATTTTCTAAGATAGGGTAAATGATCTGTAGAGGAAATATTTTCACTGTATTTATAACAAACAAGCTCCCTGGAAGTGTTTCCTCAACTTCTTTAAATTATACTTAATCTGTATTAAAATTGTTAGGTCTAAATTCTTGCAGATCTGTTATAAGCAAGGGCAGTTCATTCACATTTTAGCATATTAGGGCAAATCTGTCTCTCCTGTTTATTCCATATGTTTTGGTGGAACTTTGTACCAGAAGTGCATTTGGGACTTCTGTTTTCTTACCCATCTACCTCTTATCTACCTTAAGGGTAGCAAAGTTCAGTGTAAACATTGTGAATTTAAAAATCAGGTAACCAGCACATTTATATCTGGCTATTACCTTGTCCTGATACACAAAATGTTGCCAGACTTGAACAGAATAGATGCATGATACCTTTTTTCTTTGTTTGTTTTAATGCTTTTTAAATTTTTGGAGGGTAGTCATATAGTTTCCATACTGAACAGGGATGACTTCAGTTGTGTTTTCATACCCTGGTGTTTCCTACATTTGTCCAACTTACCTGTAGCATAGTATTGAGCCAGAGATGTCTCAGAAGCCAGAAGTGAAAATTATACAGTTAATTAAAAAAAAAACCTCCAATAACCAACAAATTAAAAAAAGCACCAACTCAGATTATATATTCTATGCACAGAATTGGCCACAGCTTGTTCTCTCCAGTAAGTCTGAAATGTGGAAGTGCCTTAGGTGATTGTGTTGGCATAGCAACTTAGTGAGCAGGAGGGTGCCATCCATCACAGTCAGAAGAGAGGGTATGTTGTGATATTGCACTACTGCCACTTGTTTGCAGATCTTCTGGGCTTCACAGTAAACTCATAAAGATTCAGTTCAAACTTCTGAGAACATTTGGTCCCTGTAGCACACAGACTGTAGCTTCATGTGGTTATTACTGACAGTGTTGTCACAGTCACTCCCGCAACAGCAGGCTCCCAACCTTGTCTTTACTGTGCTGAGAAGGAGCAGAAGGTCCACTTAACCACCAGCACAGTTCTTGCCTTCATCATCATCCACTGATAGTTTATTATTTCTTCTCCCAGGATTGTTCAAAGGCTGCAGATCCTAGATGGAATACCAGGCTGTTCCTCACTATTGGGATAAAGGAAGTAGGAATGCCTGTTCTCTGGGGGAGGGAAACAGAGGTGTTACAGAGAGCATGCAAAGCACTTGTACATGGATAGCAGCATCAAGACTCAGGTTTATTTGAGTGAGGACAAACAGAATATCAGAGCCTTATACTTGGTCAATGCAGACATGCTGCTATGAATTTATTTATTTTTATTTAATATTTTTACCATAAAAATCAATGCAGAGGCTGCCTGTCATTGCTTTTAAGCTGTGTCTCCAGTGGAGATGTGTTTGTGTCTATGTGGTCATAGTGCAATTCTCTGTGGGTCAAAAGATTACAAACTCCAATGGCTGCAGTGGGAGAACTCACAAAACCTTCCAGCAGA